GGAAGCACAAAGACACCGTTTTACACCTACAAGGACCATCGGTAAGTTCTTTCCTTAATCAGTCCATCATATACTCCTCTGAAGAATGATTTATTGATTCTTTTTGTTTCCTGATCTTTTCATTATCTATCTCTAGTCTGACACCGCAATATCAAAAGAAATCAATCTTACTCAGGATTCAGATGATGAAGTCAGCCAAGAAGAACGTGCGAAACGACTTAGGATTAGTATGTCAGACGAGGAGCATGTTGAACTACTGGCTTATTTTGGAAAGCCAAAGCATGGGCAAGGAGATGTGAGCTTATCACGTATATCATAGTGTACAATGATCATGTGCTGACGATTGATGTTTTCGTTCTCAGGATCTGTCAGCTATGAGGAACTTAGTCACACTAAAATTCCCAAATAACTAAACCACTTAACCTTGACAATAATTATAATTACAAAAATCTATAAAAATATATATATCACATCTCAACACTCGAGTTTCAAGAGTGAACAATTACGTCACATTACAACTATTCGAAACACTGGCCAGGATCCAATAATAATTGAACCCTGACCAGGCGAACTCAACCCCACAACCACCAGACCAGTTAAAACACTACATTAACTAACCTGGAAGATCACAACGAAAACGATTTCAGGAAAAATCAAGAACCCTTAATTTTACCAAACCAGCTTAGGCAAATTAGAAGATTATTACGCCACATTAGAAACCCAGCTCCTATATAATCCATAGATTTCTCCTAAGAAAGAAGAGACCACACCAAAAAACATAACCACCAATTCCTACTTGAATTACTCAAAGCTCTTATTTGATAAACGAAACTCGTTTTACTTTTAACAGAAACCAAGCCGCATTAAAACTTAAATTTTAGACAATAGCTTTTCTAAAGACTTACTTCTTCGAAAACTAGCTCTCTGTCTCACTTTTATCGTTCCATTTCTTTTGTTTCTTAAAAGAAAACTCCAGTTACGTAAATCTTCAGAACTGTATCTTCATTCAATTTTTCCTGATTTTCACCCTATCGCTTGAGGACGAAGGATTTAAATCTTTACCTATTAGGATCTTATCAGTAAGACCTAGTGGAAGGCGTTTAGTTGATTTAGATCTCTAAAATAGCTACCTTTTTCGGATCCCAAAACTCTACGAGGAGTTGTCCAAGTAAGCGAGTTTACACCTCACTTAAGATACCTTTTCCTGATTGATTAGAACTACTACTAATCAACTTCTGTTCAATTGAAACAGAATTCCTTACTTGGCTAGAACTTATAGTAGCCCAACTGCTACCACAAAGCCCGTGCGTATTCACCTTATCATCTCAGAATTTGTCTTTCGAGTCACTTTTCATCTTGAGCTTATCCCGTTAGTCTCTACTTGGAATCTCAAGCTGACATTATTTGATTCTAGTTTACATCCAGAATACAAAAGTTGCTGAGTTGTTTCATCTCAGCCAGTGCGTATTGAGAGCCCGTTCACTTAAGCACTTTTTTGTGAAAAATCGCTTTCTTGAATGTCAAGAAAGCGCTTTCTGTGCAATGCGTTTGTTTTCTTAAAAACAAGCATTTTAAAAATCAGAAAATGCTTATAAAAAGTGATTTTTTGGAACATTCCAAGAATTCGCTATTAGCGCATTTTTCCCTTGAGAAATCGCATTTCTCATTTTTGTGATTTCTTCAAATTTGGACAAGTCCCCGTCCACCGTACAGATTGTCAATCTACTGTACAGAACCTGACCTTCCCTCATCTTTGTTCATCTTCACTCACCTTCCCTCATCTTCACTCAACTCAACCACATCCAACCACTCAACCACCCGATATGCCAGATTCGGACGACAGCAGTGTGTATTTATATGTAGAGGTCAACAAATCAACAATGAACAATTGAGAATGATCGAGATGAGGTTGAGAATGATTGAGATGACCGATTGAGAATGATCAAGATGAATTTGAGAACAATCAAGATGGTCAACAAGTTGAAAATCAATATCCAATGGTCAACAAGTTGGAAATCGATTTTCGATGGTCAACTAACCAAACACTTTTCTCTTCATCTTTTCTCTCGTTTCTCTCTTTTTTCACAAAACGTGATTTTCAATGCTTTTCAAAAAAAAGACTTTTCTACATGTAGAAAAGCCCTGTCCCTGAATGTGATTTCAAGAAATCACGCTTAAGTGAAAGGGCTCTGAGTGTTGCCTTTTTGGGTGGCTCTCATCCAGCATCCACCAAAAAACTCCTTCAGTATTTTGTTGACAAAACCAACAACAAAAAAATCTCTTTCTCCATTGTGGAAAACGTCAAAATTATGGATGTACCTGTACCTGGGCAACCTAATCATGAAGACTGTGGTCTGTATGTCATCCACTTGGTCAAGATTTTTGTCAAACATCAAGCCAAGATGATGACGTGGATTCATGTAAGTATATATTTGAAATATCTTGTCAATACAATTTGACTCAACTCATGTATAATTTCTGGCTTTTTGACATAGGAAAATCCTTGGGGTGAGAAGAATTTGGAAGATACCACCTGACTTGCTGAGATTCATGATTTATGGGATGGGGATTTCATAAAGACAGCTAGACAAACCATGGAACTGACGGTCCAGCACTGCATTCTCAACTACAACCATCACATTGGCAACCCACAAAAGCCAACAATTGAGAAAGTTTCAACATTGGGAAATGATGTCAGCAGTGGTGACAGTCCATCTTGCATCACCTTTCCAACCAAGGAAGTAGTTGCTGCTGAAGGTGTGTGTTGTGTATTGTTATTCTGCTGGTCACTTACAAAATAAATTTGACAGATCATGTAGCGGCATCACGCAAGCGGACCTGCAGCAAATCTTCAAGTTCAGCATCTGAAAGAGGGTCCAAGTTCTCTTCCAATTTTGTCATTTCAGAAACGCATTTTGGCTCACCAGTGAAAGATCAAGTCAAAGAATCATCAAACAATCAACATCACCCAAGCATCAGAAGGAAAGTGATGGAAGCAACTCACCTCTGACTGATATAGCTTTCTCACCAGAGCCCTCTGACAAACCTGTACAGACATGCAAGTCCAGCCGGCATTGTAAAAATTCAAGTGAGCAATGTGTGTCAAACGGGACAACAAAACCAAGATGTGGCAGACCAAAGAAAGTATCCTGAATATTCTTAAGATTTGGAGATTGGATAACTGTTATCTGTATCTGTATTCATATGTATCACTTATCACAACTCCAAATCAATTCAACTTTGTATTTTCTGGACTGCTATTCCAGGAATCAATGTCATAAAACTCTGTAAAGCTTACAAATAACCAAGATCATTTTCACTTTGCCATGCCTAGCTTTGTGTACCATTCATATCAATGGTCCTGTCCCCGCGATAAAGAGTTAAAAAAGTATTGGAGGGGGTACCTGGAATAGCTCTATACAAAGAATTGAACAATTGAGTTGTCCAATGAAACAACTGAGCATAACAATTGGATCCAATGAAGTTGGTCAAGCAGCCGTGTGGAAGGTTTCAGAAAGGTCTCAAAGATACCTGAACAATTAAGAATTGATTACAAATTCAATTTCATCATTTCCTTTCCCATATACCAATTAAATAATGAATCAATTTAGTACGGTAAGATCTAAGTAGAAACCATGACTCACAGAGAAAGTATGCAAACAACATCTACTGATAGTTTTGAATTGAGAAAACAAATCAATTTTATTTGGCTTTGATGTCTTAGAAGGACCCTCCAACTTGTAGCACACAGACCCTCTGTCCTTGCAAGGCCTTAATTATAGGATTGGTGAGATCACTGTTTTGAAAGTGGGTGCTTGATTGCAGGCTGTGGTGGGTTACTCTAACAGTCCAGGTCATAAGTACAGTAATGTTCCGCTGAGCTGAGACTACCTCTGCATTGTATTTGGGAAGTCACATATGAGAATTGTGAACGATGACCCGGTGATGTTGTCCTACAGGAAGATGGATTGGAAAGCCAGTGTTTTGGTCAACTGTACCAAAGAGACCAACAGTGCAGCCGGTTGGGTTGTTGTCTTCATGTGGTGTGTTGACAAACTGATTGTGAGTTAAGACAAAACTGCCACCATAGGGAACTCCATTCAGTTTGACAAAGGGTAATGACAAAGCAAAATATTAAGCACTAGGCATTTCAGACACAAGTAAATTAGTGCCATAAAATGAAGTGCATTGTTGGATGAACAAATTGCCAATAAACTTTTCAATTTGAGGTAAATAAGCTAGACAGGCTTTGTCCTTGGCAATTGACCTAGCACTGTTGCCATGTGTTGAGTTCAGAGCATATGGTGCTACAAAGAAGAAAGATATAAGCAAGCTGCAAGAAATACAAAAAAAGGTTTGATGACAAACCTGTCATGGTTCCATCCATGCAACCACCCACAATCCCAATCACAAACTTTTGGCCTCTCCGTTCATGTGGCCGCAGAGCCACAACAGTGTGGCTGTTGCCAACAAGGTTGCAAGCCGTGGTGTGCTTTTAAAGAATGGAATTGGTGTCCTTCAACTCACGGACAAAAGGTGAAGTGAGTCACTTTGTCAGCTTGGTGTAACTTCACAATTCTGGTGTCCTCAGATAGGCCTTGATCGTTGCGTATCAAACCATGCTTTCTTGATGTGTGGCATTCATGCAAGCGCTGGCTTCTTCCTTCTGGTAATCAGCTTTGGAAACTGAAAAGGACATACTGTGGAAGACATGGAAGCCAACAACACAAGAATCAGTATTGCAATTGAGAGCTAGAAACACTGTGTCTTGGAATCAAGTAGCATCAGGATAGTTGACTCCCCAATATTTCACGGGGAAGGAATGGTCAACAGTAGCACAAGTGCTTCCCGTACACACCGAACCATTCATGAAAACTGGTTGACAGTAGCACAAGTGCTTGCCGTACACACCAAACCATCCATGAAAACTGGTTGACAGTAGCACAAGTGCTTGCCGTACACACCAGATTCAGAAGGAATAAAAAGGGAAGCCAAAAACCATGAGACAGTCAAGACAAACAATGAGATTAGGAATTACAGGAAAAAGACATGCTGTGTGTTTAAATTGGCAAGAAATTAACAAAAAATGGATGGAGTGAATGTGAGAAAGAAGTGGGAAGGCGCAGGAATGTCACCTCTTAATTTGTAAGATATTATTGCACCATTCCATCATCAATTGTGCAATGCTGCACGTTGTTTCAATGGATTCATAATTCGAATCCATCGAATCAACCAGCAGCATCACTCAGTGATTCAATGGATTCAAATTATGAATCCATTTCATTGTTGCAAAATTGATGATGCAATGCTGCTTGTTGTTTCAATGGATTCTGAATCAATTGAAACATTCTGTCAAAAAAAAATCTATGGAGTTGAACATGGAGTTGAGATATAAAGAGAAAGTGGTCTACCTCCTCACACTCTTGTTAAAATGCTTTCTCAATGTAAATCAATAACTGAACAAAACCTTGATATAACCTGCCATATTCCTTGCTGACGGAAATGTGTACCACCAGATGGAAGTGCAAAAGGATCGTTGTCTTCACCATACCAGTATTGGAACCCCTTACCCTGGGCCAAAAACATTCATCAAAAGAACATTTGTTTTCGATTAATTTACAATGCACCAAAGCACCAATTGATAATGAAACATTACATTATATCTTTTGCATCATAACCAAAGGAAAGCCATGCCTCAAATTCCAAACTCTCCTGAATGCTAAAAATAAATTCACCCATGAATGTTGCACTCCACCAACATGTATACATAGGACTCTAGCTACCCAACAGTGAGTCCTTGGTACTCCATTATATTTTTATTATATTCATCTTGTATTAATCTAGTATTTATCTTCTATTAATCTTCTATTAATCTTCTATTAATCTTCTATTAATCTTCTATTAATCTTCTATTTATCTTCTATTAATCTTCTATTTATCTTCTATTAATCTGCTGTTAATCTTCTATTTAACTTCTATTTAACTTCTATTATTTTGCTATTTATCTTCAATAAATTAATCTTCATGGTGAGACCTGAACCAATCTGGTCCCAAATTCCACATGGAATATGCAGTGGCACACAGCAAGCAACACCAGCTACAGGCTTTACACTTAACTATTGGCAACTCCCAACACCACCAAGACATCATAAGCCCAAAATGTTATCACACAAAAATATACCCAAAAAAAAACCCAGATTTGGTAGCATACCTCAAATGCAAATCCAGATGCCAGCCATCCAGCCAAGAGCCCAAGCCCAACCTGTGAGAACAAAGTAATACCCAAAACCCCAACAACCCCAACAATTTTTATCAACAATTGATCAAATGCCCATGTCCCCCATTGAAGTTTACGTATATCACAACCCCAACCCCAAGAAACCCAAAGAACAGATGGTTGAGGGAAGTAAATAAGCCTTGTATGGTTTTCAATTGATTTTTCAAATTCTGTAGAAATGATTGTTTGATTCTGTTGGACTGCTGAAAAAAAAGGATTGGATATAATAGGTGATAACCCCATAGGATTGTCAAACAATCTTTTTGAAAGTTGCTTGGATTTGCATGGCTGTCTAAACCCCATGTATCCCATTGGAGGTGCAACCCCGTTTTGGTAGCAGAAACCCCCCAATGGTATAACCCGTCATTGGTTTAATCAGTAATGCGCACACCATTCGTGTAGAATGTGGAAACTGCATACTCACCCAAGATCTCATTGAGTCAGCAGTTGACCCCGCAAAAGAAGTTTGGCATCATCCAGAGGTCCCAATGACCGGTCACCCGGATTGTGTGTTAACCGTATGACATGGTACCCGTTGGATAAACCACATGTGGACCATGGAACCGGTAGAACAAACCCACTGTGGAATGTGTAACCCATGCAACATGTAACGTGTGGACCACGTAACCCATAGGCCACACCCCCCGTGTGATGTGTAGCCCGTAGTCCAAACCCCCCGTGTGATGTGTAACCTGTGGACCACGTAACCTGTAGGCCAAACCCCCATGTGACGTATAACCCGTTGGACAGTATTGAATCATCAAGCAATGCTACTGAATGATTCAATTGAATCTATGACACCATTGAAACCTTCATCACAGAATCCCATGATTGATGGTGTGATGCATGCAAGAAGTGGAATGAATTCAATGGAGACTATTGAATCATCAACCCTTTTTCTTTACATATGAGAACAAAACAATGTCCCCAATCAAACCTCAAGATCAATCACATTGATTGATCTTTTGATTTCAAATTCATTAATCACACCTCCCTCACATCAACAATCCACATAACTTCTCATCAAAATCTTGATTTGAAACTGGCTGCTGTACCTTGCTCAGCACAACATCAGACCATGACCTGATAGTCCCCTTGATTGATCCACCTTATTGATTTTGCATGGTTGAACAACATGATAGTCATCAGATGATTGCCCAATTGAGTACATCCCTTGTGATTCTTTCAACCTAACCAAGTTGGTGGATGCTTGCCTGTGCTTACCTTACAACGTCTCCTAGGTAGATGAATTGCCCATTGATAACATTTGTCATTATTCATTATCATTGCTCTCCTTCAAAGATGGCTAATTCACATTTTTGTCAATTGTTGCTTCTTGAGTACCGAGCTTACAAATCATTGATCTATCAACCACCATCTTTTCTTGGGTATCTTCACCTCTTTTCCAATTGTCT